CTCTCTCTCTCTCGCATTGGGGATACGCGAGATGAAATCCGCAATCCGTTTCGATCATGCATGAACGATCTAGCTCCTTCTGCAATCCCCCGCTAGAAGACGGAGAACGTGAAAAGGAAGCATGCGAAAAACGCGAGAGAATGGGCGAGAGAGAGAGAGAGAGAGAGAGAGAGAGAGAGAGAGAGAGAGAATTGGAGAGAAGCCGCCCCGGCACTGCCCGGGTAAAAGCAAGAAATTTTTACCGTCCCCGCATTTTCATACGCAACGTCGCGTTTAAGCAGCTTTCTTCGAGATTTTAAAGTAAAACGTCCCCCGGGACGGGGGCGTCGCGCCGGGCCGGGCGACCTCTTTATCCCGAACAGCGTGAATGCAGGGGTTCTGCGAATTCGTGGCGTATCGCGTTTCCTCTCGACAGCGGCAACGGCGTTCCTCGATTCCTCTCTTCACCGCGATTTTAATTCTCAGGAGAGAGAAACGCGCCGATTCGCCGATCACCGATATTTGGGAACGGCCTCGCGCACACCGCAAAGGATGTAATCCTTTTGTCAATCGCGTCGATTTAGTGGCCGAATTACCGCGATTGTTACAATTATCGCTTCGTCGCACAATCGATCCCAGGGCACCCCTAAATGTTATAATCGCGGGCGCGAGAATGGACGTGTGAATCTTTAATGCGGCGCAAAGTTCATACACGGGCATTGCGGCCAGCGCGGATAATCTTTATTGTCATTCCGAGGCGTGCGACGACGCTATAGAGCAGTATACCCGAGATAGAGAGTGATTTCAATATAATGTGACGCGAGTTTTACCGTCCCCCTATGTCACTTTCGGATTTCAGCCGCGGCATATCCGGGACTGTATCCCGGAGGATACGTGGCGGCGATGGCCGCCGCCGGCGTTTCCCTTCACGGACAGCCGGCTTTCTACCACGCCGGCCATCCTTATCAAATAAATCCGAACAATCCGGGAATGGGCCCGATGGCGAAGAGGAAACGTCGCCACCGAACGATCTTCACGGAGGAGCAACTGGAACAGTTGGAAGCCACCTTCGACAAGACGCACTATCCCGACGTGCTCCTGCGGGAACAGTTGGCTCTCCAGGTCGACCTCAAGGAAGAAAGAATCGAGGTGAGTCGAATTTTAAAATTCCATTATATCGGGTGTCTCCCGTTTGAATTCTCTGTTTTGATGATGAATTTTCTTCGGCGAGTCTTATAGAATCGATTACGCGACATTAACAACAGTCGTCGCAATTTATTAGTATTCACCGCTCTAATCATTTTAATAATTAAATTTTGAGTTGGAAAAATTAAAATTACTTACATTTAAGCGAGAATCAGGTGTGAAATCGTTAAAATCATAATTGAGGATGCTCCTTTCCTTTCGTTACGTCGATCACAAAACGAAATTAACCGTCGGTGCGGAGTGGCGATTGTAACGGAGTAGAGCGATACGAAGAAAATGCCGTGGAAAAGAGCATGTGTTGACAATTATGGGCTCCCGTTTCGTCCGCGCGATCGCTTTCTAAAAACGAGGGACCGGCTACCGTTTTACCGAGGAACGGCGGTGAGTGGTTACACCGCGCAGCGGCGGGCTTGAGCCGACTGCCGATGACAAATTACTTTCTCGAGCCGTGAACGGAATATTGGATTTCGGATCGGCAAACATTGACCGTCCGGATGGCCCGGGTCCGGTACGCACAATTTGTAATGTAATGTCGGCAAACTACGCGCTCGCGCCGCCGCGGCCGCCGCCGCCGCCGCCGTTCCTGAGTGGGATGAAACGGCCTGTGTTTGTCGTCCTAATGCATAAAAGCCCATAATATTTTAACGCGGTCATTAAAATTTACCGCGGTGGGTATTTATCGGGGCCTCGGTCGACTTGAGCTAACAAGTTGCATGCTAGATTAAAAGCTTTAGCGATAATGTGTTTACTTCAATTATACATACGCTCGCGCGCGCTCTCTCGTTCGCACACGCGTGTGCACGCAATCCACACGCGCGTTGGATAGCTCGCGTATATCGCGCAATTTATAATCTCTAAAGTGGTGTACTCACTGCAGACAAGAGAGAGGGGAGCGAGGGAAAAAAAAAGAGAGCGCGCGTTTTTCCGCGTCACGTTAATTTCGTATAAATTTACCTTTCAATAAGTTCATTGTGTCGTTGATCGAGTGTTATTTTTCCAGTAATTAACGATCTAGCTTCTCAATCTGATGGCGACATATTGTGATTTCTGTGATTTTTACACCGTGCCTGAAAGTAGAATCCTTTTACGCAAATCATTTTGTATGTACATACATTTTCCACGTATATTTGTTCGTTTGCGATGATTCCACAAAAAAAAAACCCTCTTTTTACATCGATTTATCAACATTAGCGCTGACACTAGCGATTTCGCGTGTTAAAGTCAATTTTTTAGCGTCCGATTGAATTGTTTCTAAATTTGTCTTATATAGATGATTAGTTTAAATGTAAAGCCATAATGGAAGTCGATTGAAACTTTAATTTGAATTACCGATTGAATTGTTATCGCGACGATCTCGAAACACGAGGGACCCCGCGGACGGGTTGCGTAAAATTGTTCGACGGGCCGACCACCGATTCCGTCGAGCACAATCACGGACTCCGGGAGAATCATTGACACTCGCGTGGGACCACCCGCGTCGCCGTCGGCTTTGCCAAAGAAAGGTCCCCCGAGTCTCGAGAGTTGTTTAAAGACGGGAACAACATATACCTGCGTGTCTGGTAACCGGGGCCGCCTCTCGGAGCGAGAGTCCACGGTGTTTGCACAGAATTAGTAGAATAGCGACTCTTGGTGCGCACGATGGGAGGAGAGGACAAAGAAAGAGCTAGGGACGGGTCGGCCCGGGGAGAAAGGAGGGAGGGAGGGTTGGGGGGAGGGGGAAGGGAGGGCGGAGGATGGGGTGAGAAACCTAAGGCATACTGTTTTGTGTGCCTCCAAGATCGCGTCGACTCGACGTCGGATCCGTGGATCGACACGGGGAGAAACAACAGCTCGGGGAAACAGCTATGATCGCGGTGCTTCCACACTTTATTCAGGGATACAAACTGTCGTATACACAACACTGACTGATCAATTAATGCGCATGGCGCTGTTGTCATTAAAATTCCCGTTGACAGGGCACGAGGCGCACCTTGGCCCGCGTGTAGCACTGCAGATCGTGACAGATTTAATTTCGCATCTCGCGAGGAGTATGTATAAACCGGGCGTCCTCGACCTGGCAGAACTCTTCAAAGTGAACGAGGGTTAAGCTATTACACAATAGCTAATGCAGCAAAACGAACGAGCGAGTAGGGGTTGAATATTGATTGTCGGTTTTCATTCGGATTGATTCAGACAGGCGTGACGGACAAATGCGTGCCCCGCGAGCGCGGCGGGAATTCGTTTGATGTCTCTCACGCGTCTTTTCTTACTTCGTTAAGTAATATATAACACGTTGATATGTCTTGTATATATAATTACGATTTCAAATGCATTATATTACTCAGATATGGCTTAATTTCAATGGCTCCGGAAAACGGTTGCTTTATTTAATTTTATGATAACTAAAAACTGGTAGCATCACGTTTTCATTTTTTGAAAAGAATTATATTACTTTAAAAACACATCTCTCTCTCTCTCTCTCTCTCTCTCTGTTTCTTAAAGAATTCTAGTTTTTAACTTTATTTAATGCAAAGCTTGATGGAAAAAAGGCAAATCTTTTACACCAATCTAACGCTTTTATCCGTGGGCAAGATAAATCCTATTTAATCCTTTATTTGATAATGTTACTTTCATGCAACTTGATCTTCTTATCCATTCCCCAGAATGCCCTCGCTGTTACGATCGAATTCTAAATAATATATATCTATAACGAGCTCTCTCAACATTCAATTTATCCTGTATCTAATTTAATGAGAAATAGTCTGTATAGAGATTATCTGTGTCCATAAAAAAAAGTGAAAATTAATGCATTTTTAATCGTTCGAGGGAGAATCGCTCGCGAATTCGGCTCTGCCGAATGAACGATCAATTTACCCGAGTATCCTTCTGAATTGAGATTTGAATCACACACATTTTAGGTGTGGTTCAAGAATCGTCGCGCCAAGTGGCGGAAGCAGAAGCGGGAGGAGCAGGACCGCATCCGGAAGCTGCAGCTGGAGCAGCGTCAGCGCACCGACGACGGCGGCGCCGCGACGACGGTGATGGTGGGCGACCGTCTGGGCCTGAGCAGGCAGCAGCAGCAGCAACAGCAGCAGCAGCAGCATCAGCAGAAGCTCGAGCAGGACACGGACAGCTCCGACCTCGAGGTAGCGTAGTGATGCGGCCGTGATGACGACGAGACGCGACGGTTGTCTCGCCCCCATCGGTAAATCGAGGTGGTCGAGGACGACGGAAGACGGGCCCGGTGCTTTCTCGCGCTCTTATCGACAATGTGTATGGGCATGTACATACGTGACTGCGCTGTAAATATCATTGTAAATATGACTAACGATGAATGTGTACAATACCGAAATAAATTATTGCATCGAAGCACGAGGTGCGGTGTGTCTGTCGTCTGATCCCCTTGGCGCGTTTCGCGAGAGATACGCCTTACTTCTTAATGCATTAAAGAAACGAGGAAATCTCTTATTGCCTAGTTTCACGATGATATCTATCTACGCGAGTTGCGCATATAGCGTTACATGTGTCGTATCTCAGCCGAATATACCGAAATCGCGATGTTAACCGTCGAGTCGCCGTGAATAATCATTCGCTTCGACTCTGATTACCTCAATGACATTACATCAAGAGTAAAATTACACAACATTAATTTATAAAATTAATTTCTTCCAATCTACGTAGCTACCTTACAGTTATTGCGACTTAAATACACGTTTATTTCTCGATTCGAATTTCATTATGTAGATCAAATTAAATCGCACGTTGAATTTATTTCATTTCATCGATTTCGAATTTTTCGCAATTGGTTGATCATCAGTCTGATCCGAAGAGAGCAGTATTTGCGATATCTTTATTAAGGATTCTCCCATTTACATACAAATGCGCGGCGAGGTGTCCATTTAGATCGCGAGAACTTTAAATCTCACGACACTCTTTCTCTACTATCGCTTATTGTTATTGCTGGAGCGCAACCCCGGTTTTACAACAATATTTTCTTATTGAAATCGTTGCGCTGTTGTGGAAAATACATTCCCGTTTATATAAACGTTTATACGAAGCTTCGATATTCCACCACGCATAAATATTAAAGCTCGTCGTTTAGGAATTTTGAAACGCGTCGCATTTAGAACTTTAGGTGGTTTTCCCGGATATACAGGATGGAAGAGCTTGGAGGTGAGTCAATTGTATCAGACTAATTGCACCGACATGAATTAAGCTCAATTATAAATTTTATTTGGAATAGCATCTGGAAAATTTGTTTTTAATTTTTTCACACTTACAGCTTCTTTTAACCGATCTTTCAATTATTGTTTTTTTTTTATTGTTACGTGATTATATTATATATTCGAATTTTCTACTTTTTCATTCTTCTTTCTTCTTGCCCGTCGGACGTAAATTTCGACAACTTCCCCGGCTTTTTTACCTTCACGGATCTCCCGAAGCGATGCCTTCCCTCGCGCGTCTTCGCACGTGATTCGGGCGCGGCGTTCACTTCGACAATCCTGAGAATCTCGATGGGATTCAGGCTGAATCGACTGCGTTCGGGCGAGCCGATGAGCAACACGAGTACCGTCACGAATTTGCGGTAGGACGTGGCTCTCATGAGATACGCGGCGCCGTGGCCATAGTGGAAGAACGGCGGGCCGAACGAGTTCACGTCGCACACGTAGTACGCGCCGCAGAACTTGAAGAGGCCAAGGCAGACGCTCTCGCACGTCAGCACGGCGAAGTGATAGCTCGAGAACACCCGCTCCAGTGTACTCCACAGGCACTTGCTCGTCTTGGCGTACAGTCTGCCGTGAACGGCCGGCAGCATCCGGACTTCGAACAGGATCTTGCCGATGTCGAAGCGATCGGCGAGACACTTGGACGAGTGACTCGCGCCCGCAGCGTCCCCGCCGCTGACAGACTCGGCCTCGTGCGTGCTGCACGTGTAATAACGATCCCCGCACACGACGATCGCGTCGAGGGTCTTCGAGCTCCAGTATTCCGGCGCCGTAATCCTGGTCATGCCGGCGCACACCACGTAACAGGCGTACGTCTGCATGCCGCGATTCGCCTCGTCGAACATGTCGTCGGTTATGTGTAACTCGCCCCACAGGGAGAACAGTCGGTTGGGTTCTTCCACGTAGTAGTGATGCCATCTCGCTTTACCGGCGCCGGTGACCTCGGCCAGGCCCGGTCGCTTCCGGCCCGCGGGCGCGCATCTGCCCCAGGTCGTCGCCCGGTGACGCCTCAACCACGTAGCTCTCTCCCTCAGCTCTCCTGGATGGCCGTCTTCCTCGTCCTGCTCTCCATCGATCTCATCGTCCTCTCGATCCTGGATGTCGAGCGATTCCGACGGATCCTCGTCGACCGCGCGACGCGGCCGCTTATTGAGCGTGCGGCGTTGCAATAACTTCAGATTGTCCAGCTGACAGCATTGAAAGGTCACGTGGAAGAGCTCAACGACGAAGGAAATCTGACCCCCGGTATCAGATTCATAGTCGTGTCGCGATTTCAACTCCTCGCCGGCGTGGCATCTCAACATGAGAATCATCAGGTGTCTCCGCAACGAGTCCGCGGAGCAGAACTTCACGATGCAGGCGCGGCCTTTGTCGTGCCAGAAGCCGTACTCGTCGCACCGGTAGGGATTGTAGAGATACCAGAACAGACCGTCCTGCCAGAACGCCAACGAGAACCTGAACGTGCGCAATATGCAGTTGCGATACCGCCCGATCAGTTTGCCGAGGGTCTCCTCGAGCTCTACCGCGAGCTTGTGCGCGGGCACATGTTTGGAATCCGCCACCTTCTGGCGGAATTTCTCAATTTCCATCCTGACCTGCAGAGGATCCTTCCTGCTTAACGTAAGTTGCTTCATCTCCGGACCCTCCTTATGCATGATGTCGATGAACTGCGCCCTGCCTTGCATTCTCCGGATAAATTCTATCTCGACGCTGTATTTGTAATTGTACACGACTACGTCGTCCAGACGTTGCCTCTTCTTCACGTTGATCGTGCCGATGTGGGTGAAAAGCATCCAGGCTTGGTCGTAGATGTAATCGATATTAACGCTCCACGCGTATTTGTATCTTCCATGCGAAGATATCGTAAAGATAACGTCGTTTTTAAAAGAGACGACAGCTTCGACTATATTCTAACTCTCGTGAAAGTGCAAGAAGCGGTCGAATTTTCACTTCTCCAGCGCGAGATGTTAAAATTACGTCACGCGCGCGGGATGACTCAAATTCCACGCGCATATCCTTTCACGAGAGTTTTCTTTCCAAACAAATTTCAAGTGGAAGAAGCGAATCTCCAATTGATCGGAGAGAGAGAGAGAGAGAATTTAAATAATTTAATTCGCTTTGAAATAAATTAAGCGAAAGGATAAGGATAAAAATTATCAAAACGAGATTAGAATGCTCCACGTATACTGCCCTCGATTATCCCGCTTCGACACATATCGATACCTGAGCTGCGTTTTCACCAGCAGTGCCACGACCGCTTGGTAGAAGCAGAACTTCCAAGTGTTCTTGCGCTCTCGCAGCGAGCTCATCTCCAATAAATGCATACCCTTCGTCCCACGAAGTACCACGTTAGCGTAGACACGTTTGGACGGCAGCATCACGGTAACATAGTCGCCGTTCACCAAACCGTGACGTTCGCCAGTCGCGCGATCCACCAACAGCTTCAACTTCGCGCCCGGACGCGGCACCAACACGCGTGCGTGGCCCAGCTCCTTGCGATTAGCGAAGTCGCTCTTCCGCTCGTCCTTGTCGTCGTCCGGCGCTTCGTAGGGAAGAACGTCCCTCCTCCGTCCGTCCTTCTCCTGCCGTGTCTCCAGCGCGATCACCGCATCACGCGTGAGCGGCCACGTACACGGCCGCAATCTTCCGTTTCTCGGCAATCTCCGAAATGTTGTCGTCTATCGAAAATATCGCAAATTCAAGGAGTATCATGCGTCCGCGCGTGCAGAGGATATCCTCGGAAGTAAATAAATGAAATAAATCTTCGCAGTCGTTGCAAACAATCTATGAGTCTCCCCAGGGATGTATGACGAAAGAAAACGTCGTAAAAAAAAACGTGAATTAAATTAAATATAGAGAATAATTAGATCGCGATCGTAACTGGCACCGCTCCGTTCTCTAATCGACTGTCTCACGTACCCTCAAGCTTCTCCAGATTGGCGTCCTCACGCGTCGACCCCATCCGACGGTCGTCCTAGCCCGAGGCTCAACTGGCTCAAGCTGAAAGCGTTCACCGAGCGGAAAGTACCTGACGAGCGAAACTGTCTCCTCGATAGGCTCGCTCACCTCCGCGCCAGGTAGTCTCGCGACAGCGGATTCGGGCGTTGCTATCTCCACTCTAAATTCGTTGCAGTGAAAATTGTCACTTTATTACACAGTGAAAGGTCGATTTTAGGGTTTTCACTTTGCTATGCAGCGATTTTCACTGTATGTAAAAGTGAGTTTTAACTTTTGTTAAAGTGAAACTTTCACTTTATTAGAAACAGTGAAAAATGTCACTGTTATGGTAACAGTGATATGGTTGCAGTGGCATGATCCACTGCAAGAAAAGTGATTAATTAATTGTAGAAGAAGTGAAAAATCACTTTCTTAACAGTGGTCATTTTTTGACGGTAGAAAATAATTAATGATATAAGATATTAACAGAAAAGTAATTTTACTAGAGTAAAAAATATAGTGAAGTAATTGCCTATAAGAGCTGACACGGGTGTGGTGTGTAAAATTCTTATCATTACAATATTCACACACGACCTGCGCGCCGCACGGTTTGTCGGTCTTAAAATATAGTTCTTTGCATGAAGTCGGAAACTTGTAACAAATTAAATTGACGAACAATTTAATATCTTTCGATATGCATCTATAAGATTTCCCTCTTTATAGGCAATTACTTCACTATATTTGATTATTTCTCGGAGCCTATTCTATATAAAATTCATTAGAGTAAAAAAG